GTGAACCTGGAAGCGGACCAGAGTTGCTTCTGGTCCACTTCCAGGTCTGCTGCCAAACACACTGGGGACCTCCTCGTGCTCCTGTGGGATGCTCCATCCACCCCACCATCTCAACATTCACGAGTCACCTGGTACCTTGAGGTATGCAGAAAAAACATTTGAAGCTGTGTCTATGTCCTAATCGTCAAATCTTTCCAAATCGATTTGGAGGGGTCCGATTCGATTTGGAGAGATTAAAGGGTCTCCTGATTCGATTTGGAGAGATTAAAGGGTCTCCTGATTCAATTTGGATTCGGAGATTTGGCCACCAAATTGGGCTGAGTCTCTGCCAAATTGAATCAGCGACCGAAGCTTCACACAGCCCTAATCTTTTCATAATGCACTCCTAAATTTCCATACTATGATACAGTGTTATTGCTGTTTAATCCTTGAGGGCAGGAATACTGGGAAGGAGAGGCTTTTAGCTAAATTCCAGTAACTAGAATTCTCTAAGCAGGTGTCTTCCATGGGTGTTACCTCCTTGCCTTCAATGTTTATTCTCCACAAGTACATTTGAAAATAAAGGAGGTTAGGTTACTATCTCTGTCAGTCAGGCTCAGTCAGTGCCTATTTGCAGGTTCAAAAAGACGTATAGCTTTCATTTGAGCTGTCAGAAAACTGGATAAAAAATATTTTCCACTATCACAATTTTATATGTTGAGTTGGGAATATAAAAGTAATAGAAATACTTACCCAACAACTGCAAGCCAAGTGAAAGAAACTGGAGACGTAGGTACTAAAAAAAAATCCTTCTTTTAATGAGATGCAATGCATTCATCTTGCACCAAATCAAAATATCTGCACTACTCTTTTTGAATATTAATAACTTTGACTGATGGCTTGAGAGGCAAGAAGAAATGTTATGGATCTGGAGATTCAAATAATAGCAGACTATTGGGTTAAATACATAAAAGAGGTAATGAAACTGGAAAGGATTCTGGACCAGATCCTCAAATGATGTAAACAAGAGTAACTTCAAGATTGAAATACACAAAACATGCTTACGATATATTTTTTAATAAGCTACCAAACTGAATGACATTGTTCTTGAAGTGTGTTTTTCATATTCATACTCACCAGAGTCAGTTGCAGCTGTGGTGGTAGAGAGTGTTTCCTAGTAGTGCCCACAAGAGCAGTCATGTCCTCTGCTCTTCCCTCTTCAGATCCCTTATACCTACAGCTTATGGATGATTCCACTAGCTCGGCTTAGTCATTATTTTAGATGGTAATCTTATGAGTAGATTAGTGCATACAACTTTAATATAATGTTTTTCTCTGTTAGTTTTCATCTAAATGACATTTCTTCTTGTATTCTAGAGATCGTGTGATTGGTCTAATGATGACAGCTTGTGATCTGTGTTCTGTAACAAAATTATGGCCAGTTACCAGAGTGACAGCCAATGACATATATGCAGAGTTCTGGGCTGAGGTATGTTATGTTTCTCTCACTTCTTAAAATAAAAAACATGAAAAATATCCAGATAGATGGGGGAAAAAACCCATAACAATAGAGCAGTATTCAAGAGATTTCTTACCATGAGTGACTTGAAATCTGTTCATTTTTTAATGCGAGTTTGCAAGTAAGCTACTTGGAAGCCATTTGAACAGCTGTATTATTCTGGAGTGATTCTGGACACATGTCATCAGTGTACAAGCAAAGCTATATGTTTCCACAAAATTAAATGCATACTAAGTTGAAAGAAAAGAGAATCTGTAAGACTTTTTCTTGTCATTGATGGTAATTCTCTTAAAAAAACAAACAAACATAGCTACTTTTGATGGCTTATGTCAAAGCCACAAAACACTAAACCATTTTCCAGAAAGTTTCCTCAAAACATCAGCTTCTGGAGCAGCAAAGGAAATATGAGCACTGCAGAACTGTTCTTGTCCCACATTTTGAATCCCCTTCTGAGTCAGCTTGATGGTTGAAATTTAAAGATACCTAATTGGCCTGGAATGCACTACAAAGTTTCTTAAACAAATACAAGGCAGCCATAAAGCTGGGCAGGCATGATCTTTTTCACACCCTTTCTGATGTCATATCCTTAAGTTTAAAAAAAAGAAAGGAAAGGAGAGATGATGACTTCAGTGAATGCTGCATTGGATTTAGCCTTTTTGTCTTTCTTTTAGGCCCTTTTTGAAATCCAGTGGTTTATATGAACAAAAAATAAAGAAACTTTAAAGGATCTTTGAAAACTCCTGGTGCTCTGGTGTAGTGCCTGAAGACTGCAAGAAGGCCCATGTGGTGCCTATCTTCAAGAAAGGCAGGAAAGTGGATCCAGCTAACTACAGGCCCATCAGCCTGACTTCTATCCTGGGCCAAATCTTTGAAAAGTTTATTAAAGACGCCATCCTTAATGGACTGGCCGACACCAACATCCTAAAGGATAGCTAGCATGAGTTTGTTGTCGGTAGGTCTTGCTTGACCAATTTCATTTCCTTCTATGACCAGGTGACCTATCACCTGGACAAGGGAGAAGAGATTGATGTCATATATTTTGACTTCAAAAAAGCCTTTGATCTGGTATCCCATGATCACCTCTTGGCGAAACTGGCCAATTGTGGCCTTGTGTCCACCACAATCTGCTGGCTGGGAAACTTGCTCCGTGGTTGAACCCAGAGGGTAGTAATTGATGGAAGTCACTCATCATGGTGTCCCCCAAGGCTTCATCCTTGGACCCATATTGTTCAACATCTTCATTAATGATGTGGGCATTGGAGTCAGAAGCGGGCTGGCCAAGTTTGCCGATGACACCAAACTTTGGGGCAAAGCATCCA